CAGTTCAAGTTCATTTTTTCATCGGCTCGCACATGTGTGAATAATACATTTGCTGATTTGTTTTTCAATTCTTCCATATTTTTTGTTTTGTTTCTGACAATCTCTGCTCCGCACTTCCCATTAATAATCTAGTGCAAAGGAGTACAAATGTGAAAATTTACATTGTTAGTCAATTTGTGATTCAAGTGCACCCTTAAATTTTCTTCGTGCCCCCCAAAAATGTCCACTGTGCCCCTTTTATCATTACTGAAGACAGTGTTGACCAAAAATGTCACTAAGAGTATAAATGCTGAAATGATTACCTTGTTGATTGTTTTTCTGAGTGTGAAACCTGAATTTGTATCTGAAATCTGGAAGTGTGACTTTTTTCCTCTCTTCATGTAAATAAGGATACAGTGTTTTGCTGAGATGTTTTTAGACCATTTTTTTTAGACAAATTATACTATTTCAAGTCGCGGCAGAGAGTTTGGTGTGTGTGAAATGTTGTCTTCTTCTTGGGCGGAATGTAACAGAAAATGATTAAGAAGCATTGTGCTCTATTTTAATCCTATGTGAGGGACAGTAAACTAAAAAGCGGTCAACAGACTTCGATGATCGGACAGGACAATGAAATGACACCAGATCAACCCCGTTTTTTCCGATATTTTCATGCCCTTTTCACAATCTGCAGAATTTGCCATCAAATTTGGGATGGCGTCAGACGCGGCTCCTCAAAACAATACCTCCAAGGGGATCATGACGTTTTACCCCACCGTTGAGGAGTTCAAGGATTTCAGCCGCTATGTCGCCTACATGGAGTCACAGGGAGCGCACAGAGCAGGCCTGGCCAAAGTATGTGCTTGATGCTGAACAATTTCTTGTCACAATTATACTTGAAGTGACAGTGCTGATTTTTATGCAATGGTGTCACACTGGTTTTGTCTCCTTAATAGTGTTTTTGGAATCTGGCATAGTGTGCAAAAACAATCAAAAAGCAGCTCACCAAATACAACATTTTAGGGCAAATAACTCTTCTTGGACGACAAGCCAGTAATATCCCCTAACGTCTTTCCCCACCCGACTTCTAGGTGGTCCCCCCAAAGGAATGGAAGCCCAGACATTCATATGATGATATAGACGATTTGGTGATTCCTGCACCCATTCAGCAGGTGGTGACAGGCCAGTCGGGCCTTTTCACTCAGTACAACATTCAGAAGAAGTCAATGACCGTTCAAGAGTTCCGCAAGCTTGCAAACAGTGACAAGTATGTCAAGCAAATTAGATGTTGTAAACGTCATAGTTGTTTTTTTTTTTTTTGTTGTTGTTTTTTTTTTTAATTACATTTCTTTTGTCCATTTTTGCAGGTTCTGTAGCCCTCACTATGATGATTTTGATGAACTGGAAAGAAAGTACTGGAAGAATGTAACATTTAATCCTCCTATATATGGGGCCGATGTCGGCGGCAGTCTCTACAATCCAGTGAGTTGATCTGATATATGGGGTCTTTCAAAAGTCACTTTCTGTTCTGTTAAATAGAGGGCAATAGAATACACATGCAAACAATTAAAGTCAAAATGTACATTAAACTCAGAGGTGCTACATCATTAACAATTATTTCAAAATAAAATAGGATTAGTGTCAACTGAAGATTAAAAAAAAATGGATGAACTATTGTTCTAGTATTGCAACTCAAAGGGCGAGAACAAAGGATTGATTTTAACACATAAAAGGGAATGCACTTACATGTTCAAAGAGAAACTTCCCAATACATCACTTGCTGTTATAATGCTGTTATAATCTCCTGCCTGAGATTGCTAATGAGATCGCTACCTGCTAATGAACATACGGCTGTGAGCGGCCAACAATATGTAAAATGTTCCAATACAGTCACCATACACTTCTTTCTTTCAAACAGTTGTGAGGCTATCAGCATTTGACAGTTTAGGCTTTGCCGATTATGTTAAGTATATCATTTCATTTCCCCTGGCTCGCCAGTTGACATTGGCCATTGTCAATTGGCCATCTTTCCCTAACCTTTCCACTGTGTTCATTGGAACCTTCAAAGCAGAAGAAATTTTTCTGCACCCTTCTTCAGATTTGTGCCTCGAGCCCATTTTTATCTTGGAGGTTGACGCAGGTTTTTTAACACTTCATACTTAAATTTTGCTCTGACAAACACTGTCACCTTACATAGAGAGACAGATTCACTGAATTCATCACAGTGAAACTTCCATTTAGCTGGAGGAACCTCTCAAGGATGGTCAATGGAAACATTTTGCGCCTGAGCTCAATATTAAGGTCTTGTTTTGGGGTTTTTTTTGTTTTTTTTTTTAATTTTCAAAAGATTTCCCACCAAAATTCACATTTTTGTTATGGGGTGTTGTGTGTAAAATTTTGAGCAGAGAAAATTCATATTTTAAAATTGATGTTAGAATGAGGTTGTAACAAAACAAAAAAAAGTGAAGTGATGCGAATACTTTCCCATGCCCTGGATGCACCCAAAACAGATGGTGTGATGCTAACATGTTGTTGTTTATCTTTTCTTAATTCCCATCTGTGCTCTTCCAGGATGTCAAAGAGTGGAACATTTGTCATCTAAATACCATTTTGGACACGGTGGAATCTGAAAGTGGCATCACAATTGAGGGTGTGAATACACCCTACTTGTATTTTGGGATGTGGAAGACCACTTTTGCATGGCACACTGAAGACATGGACCTCTACAGCATTAATTACTTGCACTTCGGGGAGCCCAAATCCTGGTAGATGATTAAAAAATAAATTTTAAAAAAGCTTGTAATAAATGTTGCTTCTTGAAAGTACTATTGAATCTGAAATGACAAGACACATTTTGAATGTCTGCAGGTACTGTGTCCCCCCAGAGCACGGGAGAAGATTTGAGCGTCTGGCTCAAGGTACGACATCAGTGGAATATTAATCAAAACGTTTTACATCCAAGTGATTTGACAATTATCGGTTCTAACAGTCAGCATCTGTCTGCTGTAGGTTTCTTTTCTGGCAGCGCACAAACCTGCGAGGCCTTTTTGAGGCACAAGATGACGTTGATTTCACCTTCAATCCTGAAGAAATACGGCATTCCATTTGAAAAGGTCCCCAAATGGCTCATTTCATTTTACCAAGATCGAAACCGACCCAATCGTTTGACTTGTCTTTTTTTCCCCCCCCTCATCCGTTAGATTACCCAATATGCCGGTGAGTTCATGGTGACTTTTCCCTATGCTTATCATGCTGGCTTCAACCACGGGTTCAACTGTGCCGAATCCACCAACTTTGCCACACAGCGGTGGATTGAATATGGCAAGCAAGCAGTTTTGGTGAGAATTTGTCAACTGTTCAGTCAAATACTCCCAATTCATTTGAGCTTTCGGTCGAGAATTTCAGTCTGTATTGTGGTTCATCTTTTGTGGCCCTTGCAAAATTGCCGATTTTGCACATCCAAATATGTTTTTAGTATGTTTGAAAAGTCTGCTACGGGTAATTTATTGTTTTAAAAAAAAAAAAAAAAATTGCATGCTGTTCATGTGCTTTTCTCTGTCAGTGCTCATGCCGCAAGGACATGGTGAAGATTTCAATGGACGTGTTTGTCAAGAAATTCCAGCCAGATCGTTATGAGCAGTGGCTGGCAGGGCGAGACGTGGCGCCCATCGACCACTCCAGGCCCACCCCAGAGGCCAAGGAATTCCTGGGCGATTCTTTTAATATCATCTACGATAATAGCAGGTGTTCCATCGATAGCGGTCGGGATGATGTGGAGCGAAAGAGGTTTGTCACGTCACATTAGTGAAGATCCAAATTCAAATCAGTCGGCTTTATTTAGCAGGGTTGTCAAACTTATTTTCGTTGCAGGCCACAATGGCTGTAAAAATCACAAAGTGTCACCCGCTCATAGTATTACGTGTAAACCACCTACCCTGCATTTATATATTATGTACATATTTATGTAAATACAAATCGATGTTGAAATCAGAAGTTATGAAAGATATGGGCAGCAAAATTTGTACTTATGCAACTGTTACGGGTTTTGGCGGGCAAAAAAAATGCCCGTAAAAAAAGTTTAATTCACACAGGGGGCATCTGTGCCACTGTGTCCGCATCTGGGAGTGGTAAAGTGTATACTTGATCTGATCGTGTTCATTTTGTTTGGAATACAGTCGAATATGCAGAAGGGATTACCAAGAGATTGTCAGGATTCCATTCTGGTAGTTGATGCCTGCTTTAGATTTCAGTAAATTAAACACAATTGAAATACAAATCTTGGGGTCATGTCTGACCTTTAATCAGAATGATCAGCTTTTTTTTCCCCTCCAAGTCTCCTCAACATGTCTCAATTTTTCTTTCTTTAGTCCACTGCAAAGAATCGAGACCAAGAGACACCGAGTGTGTTTGCAGCTGCCCGACGAGGTTGTTTCGAAAGATATCGATGAGGAAACCACGCTGTATGCAAAGCGGCCAAGACTTAATCTTTTGCCACCACGTATGACACCACAAGATGGCAAGCGAAATAAAGGTATTGTTATTTACTTGTGCGCTGCCACTCGTCGGCACTGACCTCTGCTTGATCTTTTCTTGAACAATTGTCATGTTTGCCACCCCCTTTTACTGATGAAACATTGATTTTATTGACAGGCCCACCAAAGTTGGTTGTGACGCCCACAAAGCTCACCTTGATAGATCCGTTCCACCGCTTAAACACGAGCGATTCAGGACACACGCCTCACTACACCAAGACTCGGCCGCCCGCATTCTCATCTCATTCCCAAAACGGTCATCTGTCAGCGACGGCAACATGGACGACCGCCACGGGTCAGCCTTCCCGTAAAATGGGCGTGGCCAGCCTGCTCTTCCATCGGACTCTCACTCAAAAAGACATCCTGCAAGTGCACAATTACCCGCGAGAAAAACAGCAGGTTCACACGATGCTGCAGGTGCACAGCTACGCCAGGGAACATCAGCCCCGTCATTTCCCGGTCGCAGGAGCCCCCACGCTGGCTGCGTCTCAGGCACCGGGCAGCGCAAGCACAGAGTCCACGCCGGAATCTCGACTCTCTCTCGGCAATGTGGAACTCATGCAAACGGAACATTCTGTGGAGGAGGACCACCCGGCAGGTGTTATGGATGTTCAGGATGCAGTGTTGGAGGCCAACGCTGAGCCCACCTGCGTCACGCAGCCCCCCCAGGTTGACAAAATGGAGATGCTGAAGAACCAAAACAAAAGAAAGGTCTGTATTCATGTTTCATTTCGACCTCAAAGGCAACAACAGCTGAATTGGCTTCTTGCTTTGTGCACTATTTTTTCCTCTGGACTTGTATGCAAAACGAAAACAGCTGTAAGCTCCACTATTTCTTTTTTAAAAATCAAGATGGGGGTTTTATGGACTCATGTTGGTTCTTGACAAAATGAATATGATGGTGGCTCTATACCGGCGTTCTCATTTGCATGCTTTTCTCAAGAGCTTGGAATGATTCACAAATTGACTCCGTGGCCGAACACGAAGATACAGTGCTGCCTTGAAATAAGAGTTAAATTCAATGCTTGACCCTGTTCATACCATAAAAGATCTTTGCCCATTCAAATGTTGGAAATGTGATTAAAATAAATAAATAAATAATGGTAATGATGATAATAATAAATAAATATAATAATACAAAAATAATAATACAAAAATGGCACACTATCATATATTTTAGGACTGCAGCGACTGGTTATTTTAATAATCGTTTAACTCATTCAGTACCAGCCAATTCTGGACCAAGTCTGAAAAGACGTTTAAAAACGTCTTTGGGAGTGAATGAGTTAATCTGTCATTTTTTTAAATCCATCTCAGTAGGTTTCCATTTGGTCCTGTCTTGCCAAATACCACGCAGAACGTATTATTAGAAAGAACACTTTGGACTTGACTTCCACTTCAGCTTGAAGCCTATTTTTGGATAAATCGTTGACTATAAGTATAAGTGACTTGCAGTTCTAAGATTTGGCGTTGGATTCTTTGCTCCGCCTTCTTGTGTGGAGTTTGCATTTTCTCCCGTGCTTGCGTGTTGCATGGCACCCCCGCACTAGATGCTTTTTGGTTAATTGAGTCCGAAGAGTTGTCGCGATGTGCTCTGTCAGTGACTGGCCTTAGACTCTCCTGAAAGAGGACAAGGACCATCGGAATTGAGGTTTCGCCTTGCTAAATATAATTTCACCACCAGGTGTCAGAAGAGCAGTCCTACTGCATGTCAGTGGTCACCAAGCAACAGCAACAAGAAGTGCTCCGAAAACTTCCACGCCACCACCCTCTCTTCCGAGAGACATACAGTGATGACGGTAAGCCAAATGTCACGAGTCGTGAACATTTATAAGAACGGACTCGTCAATGCAATTCTCTGAATCTCGCAGTCTCTGTTTCTCCTGCTGATGACGTTCAGTCACTCGACAGTGTGCTTAACAGGCTGCAACAGAGAGCACTTTTTTTAAATATCTTTAGTGTACTCTGCAGACACGTATCAGGATGTGGAGGTGCAGCAAGAAGAGAAAGAGGAGTGGGCGAAGCCACTAAGGCAGCTGTGGCAGTGTCGGCCTTTAAACCCTCAGGTGGAGTGGGAGTACAATAAGAGAATGGGTGAACAGGCTCCTTACTGCTCCATTTGCCTGCTTTTCTACACACATCATCAGGTGAGCTGGATTGTCTTAACCCTTTATCAGTTTCCTTTTGTTTTTCAACACGGTCATTCCAGTCTAGAATATCAACCAGACATTGGAGTCAAGCGCATTATATTCTGTAGATTGACACTTGAATATCCAATCACAAAGTCCCATATCTTCTTCCTTGTTGAATGAAACGGAATACGTTCCAGACCCACAAAATAAAAAAAATACCAATAAAAATGTTTGCAAATGTTTTCTTTAATTGTTGTAGCAATGCCAATATACAGTATTTTACTTCATAAACAACAAAGTCAGTCAAAACGAAGCAATCTGGTCTTAACAAGAAAACGGACATGTTCTTCTTTAGTCAGAGGCCAGCGACGGCAGATCCACTGTGACGTTGGTGAACCGCCAAGGTCACCAGTGGTCCAAACCCCTCATCCCTGAAATGTGTTTCAACACGCACACCAACAAGATCACTGATAGCGAGGAAGGCCAGCTGTCCAACCCTCACATCACAGAGGACGGCACCAGCCGGCTGGTCAGCTGTTCTCAATGCTGCGTCCGTGTGCACACCAGTAAGTTGTTAAAAAAAAAAAAATTCTCCCCTCCACTTCACTTTTTCTTCGAGGCTATGTCATACCCCAAGTCAATAATTCCTGATAAGACATTAGAGGAAAATGCATATAGTCTGCCCCCCCCCCCCATACTAAAAAATGAAATGTAATGGAGGAGGAAAAAAAACGTGTTCTTGTCTGGCTCAGGTTGCTACGGTGTAACTCGAGACGAAGCAGAGCAGGATGACTGGCTGTGTGCTCGCTGCAAAGCTGATGCTACCTTTGAGGTCGGTGCACCGGGCTTTCAATTATTTATTGTCGGTGGTTGTTAGGTAGATCAGATTCACTTCAACACAGTGAGGTTCCACATGGACTCGCGTGATGGTCTCAAAGAAACATCATCATACTGCTCACTTCAGGTTAAATCACTGCCTAGTTCGTTTACAAAAAAAAAAAAAAAAATCACAGTAATCTACCCAAAATGAGTCATAACAACATTCCAGCACTTTTTGTTTTTGTCACTTCAAATGTAAACTTGGCCATTCGCCTCCATTTTTGTCCTGCTGGGAGTGTTCCCTTCCTTTGTTTGTTATTGTTAGTGGAATACATTGTTCCTCATTTTCTTTTCGAGCTATATCTCATTTGTTGTTATCAGCATTACTGCTTCATTTTTGTGCTACAGTCTGGAAATGTTGCCCAATAGATACACACTAATGAACATATTTGTCCACCAGTGGGCAGTACAGCGTGTGTCTTTCAACGCACTGGGAATGAGATTTTAACTACAGTCGCATATCTAAATGTTCTTTTTGAATCTGTGAGCCAAACAATTATTATTATTTTTTTTAATTTCAATCGTTGAATGGGTCTTATTTGTATGGCTTTTGGCTTCAGTTCTTAACAGATTCAACCCACTTTTTCTCGCACCAGGATTGCTGTCTGTGTTCCCTCCGAGGTGGAGCTTTGCAGAGAGCCAACAATGACAAGTACGTTATTTCCAGCAATCGCCGTCAGCGTGACACTTTGGTGCTTGAGATTCGCCCAAAACTGCAATTCTGCCCTTGTGATTCGGTTGTACTAAACTAAAGTATTTGACCTGACGTGTTTGCTCGTTCGTGGGATTTTAAAGACACATAAGTGATTAAGCCAAGCCTGGAATAGAAATGATGCAGTGTGGCCTTCTGACACAGCCTGGGGCTGCAGTTTATTTTCTGTCAAAGGGTGAGGAATTGCCTCAACATAGCCCCCACATTCATATCTGCCATTTTAATTGCTAATGAAAGTGGGCTGTTCAGTGCCGTTCACCTCCCACCTCATAGCCTCATGTCGCGTAACTCCAAAGTGAGCATGGATTGTCGTTTTTTTCTTTTTTCTAAGATCGGCTGTCGGTGCTTATTTCATAGTATGATATGCGCTTGTACATTAATGCTTAGTAGTACGCGCATTGTACGTTGTTTTCAGTCCATAGCAAGTAGTTGAGGTTAAAATTTAAAAAAAAAAAAAAAAAAAAAAGGGGTTCTCAACTAAAGATCTACTTTCACCCTAGTGCACATGCAACCTATGTCTCTTGGTCTTTCACACAGGAGTGTTTTTTTGGAAACTGATCTGCATTCCCTCCCTCCAAACTACACAATTTTTAAAATGTAAAAAAAAATAATAATACACTGCAGTTATTTTAGAAGGGATGTAACATATTGTGTTGTTTTATTTGAGTCTAAAATATTTTCTCCATTTTGTGTAAAAGTGCCAGGAGTCATTGTCGTAAAAACAACCCTTGAAAACTAACTGAACAACGTCTGCTTGTCTAAATAATGAAAGGATGTTGCGGAATATTGCACCCTGGACATTGTTCTGTTTGTCTTGAGTCAGTGTCATATTTGTCCGACTGGCAGGTGGGTTCATGTGCTGTGCGCCGTCACTGTGCTCGAAGCCCGCTTTGTAAACATCACAGAGCGGCGTCCCATCGATCTGTCTGCAATCCCACTGCCTCGCTTCAGACTGGTAAGAGTCCCAACCCTTGAGAGCGTGCAGATCCATGAATGATTTCCCCCCCCGCATCATAAAATTGAAAGTGCGTGGGGGACCAAGTGATCAAAATGCCAACAACTTTTCGAAACGGATAAAAAGTTGACAACCGGTTTCACAAAGTCATTCTCCTCCCTTGGAGTAATTTGCTGAAAGTTTGGGCTGCAGCTATTGAAGATGTTTGAGAAACAAATATTGAACCAGTTAGCCCATGAATCGATTAATCGAGTAATAGATTAAAAAAAAAAAAGTAAAACACACAATATGTGAACACATGTGAACTGCAAGTATTTTAGTCTACTGGTGAGTGACGTGGGTGTCAGCAATTTTTTTTTTTTTTTTTTAAATGGACTATTTTTTCCTGGCTCGCCGACTTATTTCTATGCAGAGTGACGCTTGCAAGTGCAGTAATATTAATCCGTGTGGCAAAATTAGTCTCCGTTAAGCTTTGAGGCAGAAATGTAGTTTCAAACTTTTTTTATAATCAAATTATTTCAGTCCCAAGACGTGCACATTTTCTTCATGTTTGTATGAGTCATGTAGCAAGTAAATATCTGAGAAGGATTCAATAGTCAGCCGTGTCTCCATTGTCCTTGTTCTTAATCTCAGAGGAGCCTTAGTCAGGCTTCTAAATTGTATCATAGTGTAATAAAAAGTGCATATGGAGTCCGTCTCACTTTGGAAGGAAGCTGTTTAATGTTATTGTGTGTGTCCGGGTCTAAGACTCCCCTTGAACCTCCTCTTTTTTTTTTTCTCACACGCTTGTTTCCTTTCTCCTCCTTTCCTTCCCCTTGCACTTCCCTTTTCTTTACCCCACGGCTTCAAACCTTTCACCTCGACACTTCTGCTTGCTGTGACTCTTTGTCTTTGGCAGAAATGCGTTTTCTGCAGGAAACGGATGAAGAGGGAGTCGACGGGCTGCTGCGTCCAGTGCTCCCACGGACGCTGCTCCACGGCGTTCCACCCCAGCTGCGCACAGGCCGCGGGTGTCCTCATGCACCCGGATGACTGGCCGTTCATTGTCTTTATCACGTGTCACCGGCACAGAGCGAACGCTATCGTTGAGGTAACCGCCCAAAGCTGCCAATTAGCATCAATGTTATGTATGGGGATCACTGCATTTTCACTATTTGTTTTCTTCTCTTGTAAAATATGCACTTTTGAGCAATGAAGCTAATCCTGGCCCAAATGGAGTGAGTTGTTTTTTAAGACGAACATCCTGTTGTGCTCCACAGCGTAATAAGGACTCCATGCGAGAGCTGTCTGTGGGACAGAGGGTGATCTGTAAATACCGAAACGGTCGTTACTACCACAGCGATGTGGTGGGACTGACCACCGCCACCTTCTACGAGGTGGTCTTTGACGACGGCTCGTACAGCGACAACCTCTTCCCAGAGGACATCGAGGTCCGTAACGGTCACACATCATTTGGCCGTGCCCCCGTCGCATCAGTCTGTCTTGACGGTTCACTTTTCTTTCACGCCAGAATCGGGACTGTGCGCGACTTGGGCCGCCTGCAGAGGGTGCTGCAGTGTCAGTGCGATGGACTGACGGGTTGTTGTACGGCGCCAAGTTTGTGGCGTCCCACTCTATTCCTATGTACCTGGTAGGACAATAATATTGCAGCATGTGTGTTTCCTCATCACATTACGTGGAGCTTATTTGTCAGGGCTGGACCGATGTGGATTTTTGATTTAATTTTTTTTTGTTTTTTGGGGGGCTGACACTAATTGCATTATTTGGCAGGAAAAAATTCTGATAACTGATTAATTGGACAATTACGGGAAAAAAATGTAGATATAAGTATAGGCATATATGTGTTATTTTGCTAGGTATGTATAGGTGTATGTGTATAAGTGTATATATAGGTGTGTGTTTGTGTCTCTATATGTGTGTATGTATATGTGTGTATATATAAGTATGTATGTTCAACTATATCCGGTCAGTTTGCTGAAAAGGTCACTTGACGTGCGTGTCTCCTACCTTTCAGGTGGAATTTGAAGATGAATCCCAAATTTCTGTCAAGCGCGAAGATGTGTACACCTTAGATGAAGATCTGCCCAAACGGGTCAAGTCGCGACTGGTATGTCCCACTCCTTTTGGAACGCGTGTCACGTACCAGTTTGAACCCGATAAAGTTTTTTTTATTTTATTTTTTTTCTCCCTTCCCTCCGCAGTCGGTGGCGTCGGACATGCGCTTTGAGCTCTTCTCGCAGGACGACGTCAAACAGAACTCCAAACGACAACGGGTCATCAACTCTCGTTACAGAGAGGACTACATCGAGCCTGTTGTTTATCGGGCCATCATGGAGTGACGTCGGTTCGTCCTATCTTCCCACTCCCTCAATTGCTTTCACGGCCTGCCAGGCGTCATATTTATGAAGTACGGCTGGGACTTAAAAAAACTTTGTACTCTGAATAACACGCTTTCATAGTGTGGTCTGTATATTTCCTTATCTTAATTTATTCTGACGGGGTAGGGAGGGTAGCAGCCAGCAATCAAGTAGTTCAAAAGTTTCAGTACTTATTGAGGCAAGATTCCCCCCCCCCCCTCCCTCCATGTCCGCTATACGCAGCCCAGAAGCCATTTTCTCATTTTGTGATATTCATTTCAGTCATTCACTTATGACTTTTAAAGAGAGTGATATGAACTTAACAGGTGCCGAGCATATACTGAATCAGTCCTGGAACTGTCTGACTCGTCACATTACACTTGGAGACTGTCATCAAGCCTGAAATTGCCCCTCCAATTTCTCCCCGATAAGATTACGGATTATTTTGGCTATTTTGAAAAATAACTTATGTGGCTGAAGTCAGTTTGATGAAATGAACTATTTTTGTCCTTTTCGCTATCTGTACAAGACCTCAGATGTATTTATATTTATTATAAAAATTGCAGGTTTTCAAACACACTGTTAACAGCTTTACAGCTTTTTTTTGTTTGTTTTTTGCGGGGGGATCAATTTCCCTGGAAATCACCTCCCAATGAGGCCATGTGGCCGTTGAAGAGCTAAACTTGTATTCTTTTTGTCTGGTGAATGCTAGCTTTAGAGATCTAGTCCCAAAATGAACAATATGGTGAGGATTCAGTTTCGATTAACTGCTGTAAGTACAAATAATACCTTGTAACGCTTAGCGATTGGTCACCATTTGGTCTCGAGTGAAGGTACCATTAATTCTGTCTTTGTAAAGCCTCGACTGTTTCAGTAAAATTTGGGATAAGAAAACTACAGTTGTGTGTCAGTGATTCAGATGAATTACATTATTAGAATTCAGCATGATTTTTATGTCAAAGGAGATAACATGTGCCCCCCCTCCCAACAGAGTTAACAATGTTCTCTACAATAATCTGCCCTATGTGCACCCACTAGTCTAAACACAGTATTCTGATTAATATTCCGTTTGCGGAATAAGAATTAAGCAGAAAAATCCACCCATTTTTATCCATCTCTGGGTTCAGGTTGGGGCAGCCATTCTGCCACGTGCTGTTGACTGAAAATGGCTTCACAAGTGCCAACGGGCTCAGTTTGTGAATATCACATGACCAAATCCAGAAAACAAGTGAGCTGTGTTTGGTGTTTTGGAATTCAGAGGTAATCCCAAACACCGCAATTCAGAGGTAATCCCAAGCGCCGCGATGTAAACCCAAAGCACAGGGACTGTGAGGCGGACATACATGCCAACCACTTGTGCACCATCCTGCAACGATGGATTGGTCAAAATAAATCCATTTGAAAGAATTGCTTAGTTGCATAAGGGAAGCTGTTGTCAGACCATCCATCCCCGAAGGCAACACTTTATGGAGGGTTAATTTCATCCCGTGATGTAAATTTAGATCTGCTAGCTTCATATGATGGTTTCCAACTTTTCCACATGACCAGTTTTTGTCATAATGAGTGAAAGGTAAAAAAGACAAGTTCGTTTCAAGACACACCACTGCTTCCTGCATGTACATAATGGCGTTCTGTAGCGTCTACAAACTGTGCAATAAATTATACAGTACACACAGAAGCATTTACTATAACCACTATCTACTATCACCACACATCCTAACTGATAAATCCCTCTTTATAGTCTCGTAAATCATCAGTGTGATAATCCAGGACATCGAAAGAGCGACAGGGAGTTGATGACTGTTCACTTGGCTGCTCATGTCAAGTGGCGCTAGTTTTAGCGTGAGGGTATTAGCCCTTGCGGAGCTGTTGTGGCATTTGTATAATTAGAGTCTAGGTGTGCTGGTGTGTGTTGTGAGGAGTGTTTTAACTGTGGAAGCCAAGACAGCAGTTAACTCAAATACCCCACCCCCACCCCTCCAAGAGCACCCCCCGCCCCCTTCCACCGGATGTCCTTGTTTTTCAGGATAGAAGTGTTTGGTTGAGGCTTTCAGGTGTTGCAAAAGTAAATACGGTTGCAAGAAAAGCTATGCGAACTGTTTCGAATTCTAAACATAACTTAGTCATTCAATGTGATCTGATCTTCATCTGATAAATCGCATCAGACAAGCAGTCTAACGCCACACAAACCATTAATGTTTTGTTAAACATTTATAATGCAGACTGGAAGAAATCTGTGAATCATTAGGCTAATGTTTTTGCCAAAAGTCACCCTGAAGCCCAGAGAGATTAGAGGTGTTGGTTCAAGATGCCTTGCCCTCGGGGAAATGCCTACCAGTTTTGAGGTTTCTAGCATTAGCATTAACCAATGTAAACCATGCCTCACACAACAGAGCTCCCTCCCCCATTACCTACAGATTTTGAAATATTAATAATTATTCGCTTGTTTCAAGATGGAAAAGGTCACTAAAGTATCTGAAAACCTTGAATGCTCAGAAGTCCGTGCTAGGACGGTTTGTCTATGAATGGAGAAGGTACAGCACTGCTGCTGCTCTCCCTGACAGTGGTCTCCTTCCCATGAGCACGCAGGTGCCTTATTGAGGTGGAGAAAAATACTTGAGTATCGGCTAGTGGCTTCCAGAATTCTCCACCGCTTGCTAACATCTTTGTTGACAAATCTACAATAAGAGCATTGGAGGACATCATGAGGGTGGGTAGGTTTGGAAGGAACACATATCGCATAGAACACCACCATGAAAACCTCTTCTCAACTGTGAAGTATGGAGCAGGTGGTTTCATGGTTTGGGACTGCTATGCTACTTCAGGGTCTGGATGCATTGCTATTATTAATGGTAAAAATAATCACCGACTATGTGAAGACATTTTGCGGGAGACTTTAAGACTTTCTAACTAATCTACAACTCCTGGCTCGCGGGCCAGATGTGCCCCCCACCCCTCGTCATTTTATGTGGGCTCCGAGAGCTTGAAAAGCCTGAATGTCCAAAAATTGTTTCAAAGTGTGCTTTGACCAAAAACTACATTTCCCACAACGCCTGTCCACTTTGTGACTCACAACGATGCGTGACGATGTTTCCACATCAATATTCATGAGTCAGGAGAAAATAATGATCCCAAAATATCAAGGGTAAGAAGAGTTGATGCCAAGGAGAAGACGTGTTTGTGCTTCACAAGGAAAATGACCGATATGTCTTTTATGTTCAGAAACTGTCAGTTGTCAAAGAGTATACTGTAATCTGCACACAACCTGCCGGGGTAAGTACGCTCAAGCTAGCCTTGAAGAAAAGAAACAAATTACATTAAGGAGTAGTTACATCGATTTTACATTGCATTCATTGATATTAAGTTACAATTATAAGTTACATCTGGCCCTTTTGCTGATGTGGCCCTTGGTGAAAATGAGTTTGACACCCCTGGTCTTACAGTTGTAGCTCAACAGAATGTTGGTGATACAAACAATTGGAACAACAGAACAAAAGAAAACACACCTTTAACGTGAATTTGAACTCAAGTGTTGTGAGTTGAAGAGATAACATGAGAGGACTGCAATCTTCGAAAGTAAATCAGGAAAGTGGCTGCAGAACAATGCCTTATTGTGACACGCCTTTGCTGATTTCTGCAATATCTTCAGTATGAGGAAGTAAAAATGATGATTTTGTTTTAGAATGGATGTGTAAGATAAGGGGCAATCATATGCCCTCTGAATGTTCAAATTATGAGTCTATGAATGAATGAATGAATGAATACTTTATTGTCATTGCACACTTGTTACAACAAGATTTTTGCCTAATTCAATTAATCAATAAAAAATAAAAATAATCAAAGACAATCGTCACGGCAACGGGCCAGGAAGCAGACTTGAGGCACTCTCAAGGACTTTGATTCCTGTTGGCTCCAAAATAATTCCTGTTTTTGTTTGGGGACTTTATCTGTAACCCCGGTGATACTGTATCTTGGCAGGCACATTGTTGAGCCCAAACATTCCCAAATTAAACATTCTTTTTGCACGGCAAAGCTAGCTGACAAACTGTCTTGGGTGATTTTATTGACCCTGTTGAACGAGACCTTACCTCAAATCAATGTTCTGTGACTTATTTGGAGTTCCATGTCTAAATAAGATAAGTCCGGCGAGTTCACTGTTCGACCGCACACTCAAGTCAACCAGTAAGAGTCAATGAGTTAACATGTCCTCTCTGTTTCCAGCAATCAATGACAGAAGAAGGCACGGAACGGTTAAAACGCGTAAGTAATAATGACACTAGTCAACCGTGAATTTTCACCAGAGATGGCTTTATATGTCCCCCAATGTATTTGTGATGCTGATTTCAAATGTCTTTTTATCACCTTGATATTTGTTCCCCCCCACCCCCCCCAAAAAAAACCAGACACATTTTGGAGACATATTCTGCACTCCAAGTAAAAATAATACAGTACTCATACAAGGCTAAGCCCGGTGATCTCTTTGCAGAAATAGCTGACATTTACTCAAGTAGTTCACATTCCTAATCCCTTGGAGCCAGCCAGAGAAAATTCCGTGACCTGTAAAGCACAGCAGCAGCAGCAGCAGGAAGCTTAAGATCAAAGATTTGGGTCATCAGCGTCACTGCATCACAATAAACCATTAGTGCCTTTTTCAATATGGCTTTAATATCATTGTGATGCTTTCCCCCCCATGGCCGATTGCATTCTTGCCGACGCAATATAGCTCCGATGATTGTGGGCTCCATCTGTCATGTGATGAAGACCCAAAGCCCTTGGGGGGGACTCTTCGGTTACTTACTGAGGTGGCAGCAACAGGAAGTCGGATGAGAGTACTGTTGTAGTATACACAATGTCACTTGCACTGTGAGGAGGTTTTGTCTCCGAACATTTGTCCAAGGACCTCCCTCATAGAGCCTATTAAATATCACTTTGTTAAAATTCACTTTTGTTATGCCATTAGATGGCACAGAGAGCCCTGGATAATAGGAAAGTACCGTATTTTACGCGCTATAAAGCATACCTAAAAGCATTCAGTTTTCTCAAAAGCCGTCAGTGCGCCTTATAATCCGGCGCGCCTTATATATGGATCAATATTCTGATTTATTGAACGTAGTATTTTAAATGTTTTGAAAAGCGATTTGTTACTGCTACAGCGGTTGTGACAGTGCGATATAAATAAAGCTGTATTGTATTGTATACCCTTTAGCATAGCTCCATCTATTAACAACGCAACCTTAGCCACTATTGTAGCTAGCCGTGGTCATGATTGTGAGTCCCCTCAACAAAACTTTGACCTGGACTAAGCAGCCGTACGCAGCAAGGCTACTGTTACGCTCTGACAGGTGTTAGATTTCAGAATCGGTTCATCTGCCCTTGAGACGATCGTGTTTCACTGAGGAAGAGTGCGTTTCCTGTTATTCACGCAGCAACTTGTCTCGACGAGTGTGCGCACAAAAAAAAAATAAATAAAAATCTCGCTCTAGAAATAGAGCATCGTCATCAATAGTATAATGGAATAATGGCATTTTTATGATTGGGTAATGTTTTTTGATCAACTTTTCTTTTTTTAAACATAGATATTTCACACTCAGATTCACAATTTAGGGACCTCACCGAACCTAGAACATGCGGGAAGATTCTTGCAAGCCCATACGATGGATGTAAAAAGTCTGCACACCCCTGTTCAAATTCCAGGTTTTTGATGTACAAAAAATAATAATAATACTCATAAAAAAGACCCAAGATAAATCATTTTTAAACTGAGTGGGCACTGTATGTCCACATTCAAGTTATAAGAGGGTGTGTACACTTTTGCTGCCACATTTCAATTACTTTTACTTTCCCTCTCGACAGGATTTTTAAAAAAAAATGCTAATAATGAAAAGAAAATTCCAAGTTATTTATTTTTGGTCTCGTCTTACATCAGAACCACCTGGAATTTTTCCTACACAGCGAAACCTTTTTTTTTTCCAGATTTGCTGGTGAATCTTTGACAGCAAAATCTTGTGCTTTGAATCTCGACATTCAATTTTGAAGGAAAAAAAAAAGTGAAATGCGCGCAGCTGCTTATGGCTATATAACATTTAGGTGTCAAATAAAGTGTACTGTTGTGTATTTAGTGAATACGCTTTGTTAAACCAAACCCAAATCTAATGATGCACTTGCAAATCAAACATCAAATGCATAAAGTAACATGAGCCGTGTAACTGAGTGGTGTCAGTCTGCTGCGGACACAAAAGACATTCGTATACCAAAAGGCGCACCTGGGTGGGGGCGGGGGGGGGGTGGTAGCGGTGGAGACGCACATATCTGACTAAGCCGAGAGATTGTGCGAGTTTAGATGTGCTCACACAATGGTGGGGGCGTGTTGTACCCACATCCTAGATTTCAGGTTGTCATGTGAATTAAGTCCTGTTTGACGAGCGAGAGCCAAACAAACTGGCACCGCGTCAGATGAGTGTTTAGACATAATAAACCAGTACGTGTACATGGTTTGGACTACCAAGATCAGAAAGGTTGCCTTGGCTGTGGCTCGCCATATGCCGCCTGTCGAGAAATGTTTCTGTGGCGATCCAGAATACCAACCTCACATTTGGGGAAAAAAGTGTACGCGAAGGTTTGAAAAACAAATTTGCTGTTAAAAATGTTCCTAAATTGCTTCTAGTAGCAGAGATGAAAGTGGACTTTTCTGAAAATTCCGGAATAAATAAATAAATAAATAAATAAATGTGTGTGTGTGTGTGTGTGTGTGTGTGTGT